TCCCATCGTAAAATAACACATTTGACTTTGTTTGAAAAGTACTGACAGCCTGTTTCTTGAAGAGAATGCGTGTGGATATGATTGAAGAAAACACCAATATACGTGCATCGAAATGCATACGCGAAAGTAGAATAATGCAAGCTACGCTCATTTTATAGGCTGAATCAGAATTCTACTAGAGATAAATTCAGACAATCACGTGCTTTACTAAAAGTAGAGTGATGTAAAGAAAAAGAGACAACTGCGACCGTAGCGATCGTGTCAATATAGATCTAAGCGTTACAATCTCATAAAGACATGTGAGAATCGTATTCAACGACTGTCAAAATAGATAATGGAGAATTGTTTTGTTATAAAGAATTAGAAAAACATTGTAATTTTTTAGATGAAAAATGTTGAGAAACAACCGTTATAAAACAAAATGTTTTTAATTGTCTAAGGGAGAGCCGTTAGGGTTGTTTGTTTTGGAAATTGAATTTTTGAGTAAAATTATATTTTATTTTAACGCTTTCTTGTCCAATGGCACCTATAGGTGCCATTTTTTTTCAAAGCTTCGTTCTCTTGTAATATAGGGTACAGAAAAACTAATTTTATACCAACTTAAGGCACATCTATTATAGATTTTCTACCAATATTCTAAACATCAACTTCTTCATAAAATCTTAATTTGTCACTAAAAGCATGTACTATGTTATGGCGTGTGCTATAGTCGTGCGATAAGAGAGTGCTAGCGAGTTGCGATGAACCAACAGATTAGTGATAAATTTCTTTTTTGTCCATATTTGTCACTAAAAATGTATCTGAATGAACTAGAAAAACCAAAAACACTTGAACAAGCATGAGCAAAAGGAGGGTAGATAAACAATACCAGAACAAGAGAATACTTCGAAAATGACTAAAGATAAAGGAGAGCATATATGTAGTTTCGTTGTATTCTTCATCTATACAATATAGAAGAGATGAAGAACGAAAGAAAGAAATATTCAATCTTAGTGAATCACTGTATAACAGAGAAATAGAAGTGTTTGTTACTGCGTAATATCATTCTGTGAAGTCTATCTTTTCTTTTTGTTCTACGATCACGTGTTGATAGACCTGTACACTAGATACGCATCAATCTAAACTTGTGAATTATCGCATTAGTTGTTTTCGCATATTTTCTAACACAAAAAATGTTTAATGCAATATCCGAAGGCAGTTCCAGCTCTCAGGACAGCGAATATGATCAGTTGATCAGTCAAACCGATGAACATATTGATGTAGATGATCAAACCTCATCTCATACATCAAGTCCACAATCAAAAAAGAAAAAAACTGAAGGAATCAAATGGAAGCGTCATACTTTTGATTCAATTGACCTACCCGAAAGTACATTGAAACCTATTCTATATTTTGTCAACTTGTCTAGAAAAACGCCGCTTGATGTATTTGAGTATTTTATGGATACTACATTGCTTTTGAAAAATGCAACTGAGTCAAACAAATACAAAGATCAAAAGGGATATCAAATTCCTGATATATCAGAGGAAGAAATCCAAAAGTTTATTGTAGTTTTGGTGTATATGTCTATTATTCGTCTTCCAAGACGTCGTATGTATTGGTCAAAATCGACAAAACAAACGATTATATCATCTGTCTTTACTCGTAATCGTTTTGAAGAAATCTTATTAATACTTCATTTCAACGATAACCAAAACGAACCATCGAAAACTGATATCAGTTACGATAGACTCTTCAAAATTCGACCACTCATAAACCACTTTAACCGGAAGTTTCAGTCAGCAGTAGTTCCAGAAGAAATTAACAGTATCAATGAGAAGATTATACCACATAAAGGATCTAGTAGCTTGAAAAGATATCTTTCTTCAAAACCTCATAAATGGGGTTATAAAATCTACTCACGTACGGGAAAGTCAAGCTATTTGTACCAGTTTGAAATTGAAGGTGACAATCAAACAACAACCGTACATCCAGATGTTGGAGCAGCTAGTAATGTCGTGATCCGTCTTACACAAAATATACCACCAAACTTATTTGTCTGCTATGATAATTATTTTGCAACTATGAAACTGATGAAATTTTTACACGACAAACAATACCACGTGATATTTACTAGAAGAGTGAATCGTTTCAATTCATCTCTTCTAAAATCCGACAAAAAGTTAAAGCAAGAAGGTAAGGGCTCATTTGATTTTCAAACTGCCGACGACGACCACTTTGTAATTACAAAATAGTTCGACAATAAAGCAGTACACGTAGCCTCCAATTGTTTTGGTCCCTTTCCTATGTCGGCAACTGTGAAAGATTTGACCGTCAAAATAAAACTCATATAACAATCGCACGTCCATCTTCCATAGATGCATACAATCAAAGCATGGGCGGCGTTGATGCTTTTGACATCCTCATGACCTTATATTGGATTCAACTAAAAGGAAATAAATGGTACAAAAAGTTTCTTTAATCACTTTTTGGATTCTGCTGTCATTAATTCATGGCTCATTTACAAACAGATTACATCGTGTGAAGTCGATCTGTTGAATTTCAAATTGGATTTAGCTCAAAAAATAATTTTATCAATTGCCGGCATGCAACCAGAGTCCATTGGTCGCAATGAATATTCAAGATATGACCAAATTGGTCATTTTTCTGGATGGAGAGATATGAACGGTAAAACAAGAAATTTTCAAAGCAAACGGTGCCAATTTCCAGGCTGTCGAAAAAGAACCAGCACTTATTGCAAGAAATGCAAAGTTTGGCTTTGATATGCTGAAACTAATCATTTCGAATTATATCATCAACTAAAAAAATAGATCTTTCAAACTCAATTTACATACTACAACAAATGATAGTCTACAAAAGTGAATGCAATTATCTTATGCTTACGATAGTAGTATCATTGTGTTCATTCTTCTGTAACTTTCATAGGTTTTTCTATACAATAAAAATTACTGGAGATTCAATACATCAATTATATTAGCATTTAAGCGAAGTGATTGAAACTTATTCTGGGCATATCAGAAGCCGTAGTGATCACATTGCCAGACGAATTTCAGTCCCAGACCTTACAGCTTAGCCATGGGCAAGAAAGGGTTAAAATATGCTACTCCAACTTCGACGCTGACTCCAAATGTGTGTAGTGCACACTAGTGATGAAATTAACTAGAATAGTATCATACACATATAGTATCCTTTCCTTTACACAAACACTTGCTTCCACTGCACAAATACATGATTTTTGCCCATCTATGATGTAGGTTTTACTAGAAACAATGAGTGTAAGTTGGTTTTCGAGAATGTTCGGACAGTATTGTCGGAAATTTTGAGAAAATTCAGAAGACAAAAGACCTAGAGCGTACGCATCGGGGACAAAAAGATCCAAGCGCACATCCACACTTTCTGAAAAGCACTTCCTATCACTTCCTTCATCTTCTATATGACCATTGTCATGTCTTATTGTGTGACTTTTAGAATAAAACACAGCTCGCCCTCATTCGTATACACTCTAATAAAAATAGGTTTTTTACCAAACCCCCGAAAAAAGTTCGGTAGATTTGAAAAAGCATCCAACTGCCCCAAAGGCTTGAAAAACGATTCTTCAGTTCTACGAAACCATTTTTTAAGTTCCATACACCAGAAAAAGGTTTCGCAAGAAAATCCGAAACCTTCAGGATTTCATATTCAATGGCAATGGTTTTTTACTAAACGCCAATGGCTTCGTACTAAACCCCAATGGCTTTGTACTAAACCATTGGCGTTGAATATGAAACCCTGAAGGTTTCGGATTTTCTTGCGAAACCTTTTTCTGGTGTACGGAACTTAAAAAATGGTTTCGTAGGAGAAGGTTCTTCCCGTATACCCGGGGAAGGAACCTTTAAAGGTTTCGTAGAACTGAAGAATCGTTTTTCAAGCCTTTGGGGGCAGTTGGATGCTTTTTCAAATCTACCGAACCTTTTTCGGGGGTTTGGTAAAAAACCTATTTTTTCTAGAGTGTAGTTCTTCATTAGTTTTTCAAAGTCGATATAATCTTATCTCTCATTCAGCTATTCTCGATTGTCTACCACCATTCGACAGATTCTCTGATCTGTCGCTTTCGAAAAGCGGTGAGAGTACCTGGCATTCAAAATGTGGCTATTGTTTCGTCAGTTTCAGATGCTAACAATGAGGTATATAACAAATCAAAATTAGAATATAGGGTGTGTTCCTGTTCAAAGGTAATTCAAAACAAAGTTACGAGTGTTTTTTTCTAAACCGAAACGGAAATGATTCGACATTAATCAATTTCATCATTGATAACTTCATTAAACTATTTTTGCTGAGGAATATATCTATTTCCGCATTGTTTCTTTTTCATGTATAAGAAAAAAACAACCATAAGAAGAAAATTTTAAATTCGCATAAACCTTTCGATGTTGATTTTAATCATGTAGGAATCGATATTTAAGAAATGTTAAAATTATTTGCTCGGAATTCTGAATATTCTTATGATTTTCCGTAATGAGGAAAAATTTATAAAATTCATTAACTTTTTCTAGTCTTTGATCTTTGCCATATTAGAACTCAATCCAATGATACATAAGTACACGAATTAGGATATAACTTTATCAGAACAATACCAATTATATTTAATTAGTGGCGGCATGTCTACTAGCTTGACTTCTTTTTTCGATCATGATCATCGAGCTTTTAATCCTTTTTTGTATAATCCGTTAAATTAATTTTGTTTTCAAAATGTATTATAAAGCAAGAAGCATTCTCATTGTTCCTTGATTTTGTAATACTTGCAATAAATCAATTATTATATATACGTATATATATATATATATATATGTAGAAGTACAAAATAAAAGGAAAACAAAAGCATAGCTGTATTAACAGTCACAACAGAAGAGAAACTAACAATATAAAAGAATGTCGAGAGAAATTTGAGAGAAAAAAAAATAATTTTTCCAGCACTTAGTTATGATTTCTTTTCAATAGTCCTGATTTCCTCTTTTAATCCATCAGACTTGTATCTTTAGAAAAGAACCACATATTTCTTTCTTATTTTCGTAAAATATTCCATAACCAATCGCTCCATCAGAATTATCAATGGTTAATCTTCGAAAATACCAAGTAGTTTTATTGTTTTCTTTTGATCTAGTTTTTCTTGTTGCCATCTCAGTGCCGAACCCTGTGTCTTCAACTAGAGTTAGATCTGCACGAGTTAATATTCGATTAAATAAACTAAATGAATAACCCAATGTTAATAATAAAGTTTGGTTAGTTTTGTAATTAACTCGTACAAATCTTTTCAGAAAATTTCCATCAAATGTAATATAGGCAAATTGTAGAAGATCCATTGTTTCATTTATTGTATTTATGTGTTCATCAGGAAATGGTTTCCATAACGAAAACATATGATGTAAAGACACTAGTCCATCTATACCACTTTCAAAATAACCGGTCAAATCTCCACTAGAATCCATTTGATGAAAATTCTTATTTCTTGTCAATTTTACTTCAACACTTCAGTTATACATTTACCTATCATTTCATCTCCACCATATAAATGAAGAAATCGTTTACAGTCTTGAGTATGTTGTGCGAATAATATTGCTAATGGTCGACTTAACAGAATACCTCCACCTCCATAAGCATAATAATCACCATGACGTATGACTTGTGATTTTTTATCAGAAATATCTCCTATATACATCAAGTTCGATGAGTTGTATTGTTGAAGTGTATCCAATAGATTGTTTACAAACCAAACAGTATCATCATCTCCTACAGCAAACCATTGTATGTTTTTTCTTCCAATATGCATGTCATCTTTTATTTCTTGATTTTTCCAAGCCATATGAAATAATTCGAGATATCTTTCTTCGTAATGTGTTACATTTGAAGTTTGCACTTTACATGAGATTCCTTCATTTATAAGATAGTTCGTAATGGAACTTGTGTTTATAAAGTCTTTCTGTTCGAAGACTATAAGACATCTAACGTTGGGAAGTTTTGCCCAAAATTTTAAGTAATGAATGGTGGTCAGAATTCGCTGAGTGTTAGTAGTAAGAGCGAAATAGATCTCTCCAATGGCGTATTTACGAATGGTATTCTCCAGCATCGATATAGCAGATACTTCCTTATATTTTCCAGAAAATTCTGTCAGTTGTATATTGTTCATTTTTAGTGCTGTGCTACGAAGTGAGACTTGCACTGTAATATTTGTAAGTTCTTTTCTTTTGTATTTTAATATTGAAGCATTAGTTTTGCTATGAATATTATCAGTCGTTGTACTAATACGGTTAATTAGATGTCGAAAAGAAAAAACACCAGAGATGATGAGACACATCATGATAATATGTTTCATCAATTTTGACGAACGTGCAACGCTATTAAATCTCATTACTACACATTCAAGAAGATTTTTTTATATTTTTCATGACAGAACGCATCAACCAGTTAATAACACACTATTGTAGATATAATATTGTTTCGCTTCAACGAATTTTATGATTGCTAATTATCAATAAAAATTGACTCAGGATATAGAATAAAAGTACATTAAAGATTCGTGAATAATTTCTCTTAATTGTTCTTGGAGGTGTTTGTGTATTAATATATGTAGCAAACTTGAATACAAGGATATCTACAAGTTAAAGATATTCATTTTAGTATTGATATTTTCTCAGTACGCATAATTTTCTCCTTTCTAAGTACATATATTTATCTGTATGCATACATATTAAAATAATAAAGTAGGAAAAGCCATTGATCGTATCAATCATCAAAGAAGAGAAGAATTGTTTATAGAATGTAATCAAAACGTGAATAAAACTGTTACGGAATCGATGGAAATAAAAAAACAAATGAGCATGACCATGTTACATTTAATATAACATTCAAACAGTCACTTATATGCACTAACGGGGATGAATGAAAATTTTAGTTATTTTGTTCTCAATTAGATTTAAACTGCAATCATCTCGTTTTAACCGATTCTTTGTCAAATAAATAGCAGAAATGAAAAAATCTCTTGAAAAAATCATTTGTAGATATGGATGCCGCTGGTTTATCAACTAACCATCTGTTAAGATCTTTAAACAAGGCTGAAACTGCAATCATGGCGGCTCGTACTCACTCTCATCCATTCTACTGTATCTTTGAAATCTCTACTGTTATCCACATCACAAAACAAGAAAGACAGGTAACAGGAATCTGCAATTGAATGAACATACATTACTAGCAACAAACTTCATTATGGCCTGCATTGGAGCCATCACATTCATATGGTTAGAACATATTGAAGGAATCAACGCGATGATATGGTGTAAACCAATCAGTTTTGGGCTCACTGAGTATGTCTTACTTAAAAGCCTTACATATCTAATTAAAGGCGTATTAAACATTTAAATTACATATATTAAATATCGATGGATAGCTAATTTTACATTACAATCGTATAAACGTCTCATACGTCTAATACATCGATAAGAATATATTAGTGTAACTTTTATATGATTGTACACTGTAGTCATGTAATATGCAATCCAAAAGTTTTTGCAAAAATTTTAAACTCTTTTATAGCTTGTTGCCCAGTTCTAAAACCAGAAAGGGTTTTCTTTGTTAGAAACAGCAATGTCTGAACTACAAATTTTGTACTAAACATATTTTCTCGAGCGAACCTTGCGAGGAGAAAAAATCCAAAATCAAACACCCTTAAAAACTTTTTTTACAACGTTTTTCAAAATTGGCAAGTCTGTATTTCTAAATTAGTTTAAGCTACATGAATGAATCAACTTTGGAACAAAAATACATAAAAATGTAGTACATTCAAAATCTGTATAAATATCAGTTTTGGTAAAACTTGTTAGATCTGCCCTTGACTCTTTCATGAAAAAAGTTAGAAAAATGAAACTTTATTGTAGAATACAATCTTTCCCAAGAAATGTCAGTTTGAAAGAGCATCAGTTACTATCTCCAGAAAGTATGCATGAACCAAATCCTTTTTGCGTTATTTATTCGAAATAGTTCAGGTCATAGAAATTTAGCAGAGAAAATAATTCAAAAAATTTTTTTTTCCCATTACAAAAAGGCAAAGCAGTAAGAGCAATCAATTTACATAGTCTTTTTTTTAGAAAAAGCCATTTTTTGGTATAAAAAACAAGAATAAATTTAACTTCCGATACACCATTGAAAAGAGCCCTCTTTACGCTACAAAAATTAGCATTAAACATGTTTTTTAATTTCCATTCTAATTTAAAAAAATCAACAGAACATAAAAAATGTTGTTGCTCGATAGTGAAGTTGTAAGAACGTTTTTGGAGATATTTGTTTTGGAGTTTTTCTTTCTCGTCAGATTAGTCCTGGAAAAATATGTCTCGTTCAAAACTGGTAGTTCAGATATTGCTCTTTCTAACAAAAAAAGAAAATTCTTGATTCAGAAGTTGACAATAGGTTAAAATAGAGTGTGACATATTTTCAAAGACATTGACATTATATTTTATCATATCTCTGCATGCAAAGTGTGAATAAATATGATGGGCGGACAAGTGAGAGAAAGGTTTTTTTCTGCTTCACAAACATGATTAAAACAGCTTCAGTAATCTGAGATGGGTGCCAACAAGCAATAAGTGTTTATTATCAATCCACATTCACTCAAAATAATGTCTTATTCCGTATACAAAAGTCGAAAAGTTATGCATTATTTTCACTATCAATGACCCTTCTCAAATTTATGTTGTACAAATAAAGTATCACTATTGCGGTCTGAGTGTGAGTTAGTTGGGGATATGTGTGTGAGCTAGAGATTTATCACTCGGTGAGTTACACCATCTCGTCACGAGGCAAGGCAAGACTTTCAAGAGCAAGTGACTACGAGGCAGTACGAAATTCGACGAGTTATTTCATGGACCTGTGATGCAGGTTTTGCTGAATAGATATCATTAATAGGTTGAAAAAATAAAAAACAAGAATAGAATATGAAAACAAAATGAATAACTATGATTTATACATATAAATGTAGCAGTACGAGGAGAATAAACGATATTTGAATAAATGATTTTATTAAAAAAACTGCCATAAAATACATTTAAACTTTTTCGAAGTACGAAGTTTTTATCAAGCTTTTGGTGAACGCGCTTACTCTTATCAGAAAATAATAAAAACAAAACAAAATATAGAAAACAATTATATGCATATAAATTCAACTACATTAAAAAAATAATCTTATCGAATAGAGAGAATATATAAACAATTAAGTTGGATCTATATATATAATAGTTTCCTATAATTTTTTTTGTTTTTATTGTTGCTTGATAGTGTTGGGTGCATTTATCAAAAGCTTGAAAAAAACTCCAATTTTGATAAAATTGAAATCTATTTTGTGACAATTATACATTAAATTCCTTATTCAAATATCGTCCATTCTCCTCTTTCTGCTAGATTCATGTAAATCATCGTTATTCCTTTTGATTTCATTATCAATCTTTGTTGTTTTTTGTTTTTTGAACCCATTTATATGTAATAAAAGTATAGAGTGCCCAGAAAGTTATTGATCAAAAAGAAATCTTTATGTTCTCCATAATAGTTCTTTTAGATGAACTGGTTTTTATACTGATGACAGTTCAAAGTTTTTGTTCAATAATATATGATTCTCAAATAATCTTAGAAAGTAACACTTTCTCGTTCGATACTCAATAAAAAGCATTTTTCGAGGTGTCAAAAACAAGCAATATGTAGGATACTCTCTTGTGTTTATTGCATTTTGTTTCATCGTTGTGGACTTCCTGTGATCCAGGTCTATTTCTCTTCACATATAAACATTTCTTGGACATTTTTAACAAACTAGGCACATTTATCTCAAGTCTAGTATCTGTAAAAATCCTAAAACCGCGTTGGATCACTCAGTTTACTTTTCATCAAAGTTTTTACTAATAGAAAAATAAATCGTTTTTGAAGAAATGTGCTAATCGTTGTGAATTTTCCAGATGTTTTCTAGAAGTGATTATAAAGAAAGAGAAATAAACCTGAATCACAAAAAGTTCACAATAATGAAAAACATTGCAATAAACGCAAGACCGTATCCTTCGTATTGCTTCTATTGACATCTCGAAAAATACTTTTTTACTGGGTATTGAACGTGAAAGTGTTATTTTATAAGATTATTTGAGACTCATATATTATTGAACAAAAACTTTGAACTGTTTTCTACCATCAGTACGAAAACCAATTCATTTAATAGAAACATTATGGAAATATAAAGGTTCCTTTTCGGTCAATGACTTTCTGGGCACACTCTACTGAATTTGATGTTATGAAATAAAGGAAATAATAATTTTTACATGAGGTTGAAAAAATACATAAAATACATCTGTGGGTGTGAGTATGGCTGTAACTGTGCGCACGTGGATTTGAATGTGTGGATGTACAAGTACGCATGCTTTTGCGTGTGCGTCTGGTTAGAGAAGTCGAGTACTGAGAAAAAGCACACCCACACGTCACCCTTTGTCAAAAGAACGGTTTTTGTCACAGTTTCAACGAAGATTTTCGGGGCTGAGCAATCCGAGTCTCTAATTGGCTTCTCGATACTTTGAGTTTATTTTTTTTGCTGAAAAATGCGTTTTTAGAAGAAAAAATAGTTTTCGTTAGTAAGAACGCCTTTTTCACAAAAACCTTTTCAAGAAAAACAAAGTTTAAAACTTCGAAAAAACGATTCCAGATTACGATTCATTAATCCTGAAAACCTTTGATAAAATTTTTGAAACAACTGTTACTTTTAGAAAGTTACCTTGAGTTTGACGTACTCTAAAAGTTTTCGGAACTTCGTTGCTTGACTCTAAATAAAGTAACGCAGTAATG